TGAGGTATGGTGTCAGTTAGGTGATCTTTTACTTGCTTATCAAGAATTTACCCGCTGCTGTAAAAAAGGAAAAATGATTGTTGGGTATTTTTACTTTGCAGGAACGTGTTGGAAAAAAATGTGGTGGATTGCGTGTACTGAGCTCTTATTGGGTGGCACAGGATTCGTCATACAAATTCTTTGAAATCATTTTGGTTGATCCCTTCCATAAGACCATCCGTCGTGACCCCAAGCTTCAATGGATCTGCAATCCAGTACACAAGCACAGGGAACTACGTGGTCTCACCTCTGCTGGCAAGATGTCTCGAGGACTTGGCAAGGGACACAGATTCACCAAGACCATCGGAGGCTCGCGTCGTGCTGCATGGAAGAGGAACAATTTGACAAAAATGCGCAGAAAGCGTTAAAGTTTTCTTTCACATTTTTTTCCTTTTCCTCATTTTCTCATCCCTGAGTCTCTCAGGATGGGCAAATCTCCTTGTGAGTTTTATTGTCTTTTGACTACGGAATAAACTTGGAGAATATCAACTTCAGGGGTTTTTTCTTGTCAATCAACAATATTTGAAGAATGTCATCAAAATGGAGGAGTTAGCCATTTCATAGCTAGCCTACTTGCTAATCCTCTGACAAAGGCATTTTCATGATTCTGTGCATGAAAATGTAAGAAAAGGAGGTACAGAAACGGATGGCCTTTCTTTATCTTTGCTAGTATTGGCTGGTGAATCTGAAAAGGCTCTCTAACATCCTGAAATTTTCAGTGAAATAAAAAAGGACTCTTTGGTCAAGATTTTGAAATATATCGTTATGCCATCTATTGAGATGGTGAGGGATATGTCTGTCTGAACACCGATTTTCTAAAGGATACAACAAAAATCTTGTTCAGGCTTTTTCTTAGATTGCATTTTGGTAAAGTTGATCAACCCTTGGCCTTTAAACAAGAGTGGCTAAGATTTTTTAAAAAATCTGTTTTAGTAAGGCTAACTGTCCTCTGTTTCTATTAAGTAACATTCAAACTGGAAGTGTATATTGTATGATGCACACCCTAGTTGCTTTGGATGCAGGATTTGACTTTAACCAGTATCAATTTGGAAAGCATAGGGGTTATTGATAAGTCGCTTTAAAAACAAGAGGCCCACGGGCCTTATAGGTCACCTGAGCATTATGCAACAACTTTCCAGTTATTGAATTTGATTCCTGTTTTAAGCCAGATGCTATATGGAATTCACAATTTTGAAAGAGGCACCATTGATCATCATAACAATAGACTTAGCAGTTGCTTAGCTTGGTTACTGAATACCAGTACGCAGGGTAGGGGAACAAAAATGCATTCCAACTAATCAGTATTAATATTCAGCAATAATCAGTAGTGCCCCTAACACTGTGACATAAACCCCTGACCCTAGGTCCACATATTACACAAATTTTAAAAAGGCACCCTTAAAATTGCCTATCAAAAAATAAATAAATGTTTTATAAATACAAAGGAGCAGATTTCAAACAATTAAGTTATTTTCAGTATATAAGATCCTTGACCCTGGGGCCTTGAAATTCACAATTCTGCAAGATTAGGGCCCTTGCTCATCATAACTATATAGGTAGTACATCTGCTTCATACCCAGAGACAGAGAAGAAAATTTTCAAAGATTTAATGTATTTTCACTATATAATCAATAGAGACCTGCCCTAACACCAGAATAACCATAAAGTTCATAATTTTAGAAGAGGCATTCTTGTTCATAACTATGTACTTAGTATATTTAATTCCTAGGAGCAGAGAAGATTTTCAAAGAATTCATGTATTTTCAATATATAATCAAACGAGCCCTGCCCTAACACCAGAACCCCTGACCCTGGGACCATAAAATTCACAATTTTGGTTGAGGCACTCTTGCTCATCATAACTATGCACTTATTTAATTTATTCAATACAAAAACTTTTCATGTATTTTCACTACATAATCAATAGAGCCCCCCACCCCACACCAGAACCCTTGACCCTGGGGCCATAAAATTCACAATTTTGGTAGAGGCATCTTGGATCATAACAATGCAGAGAAGAAGATTTTCATTCATGTATTTTCAATATAATCAATGGAGCCCCCCCCCCTCCCCAACACCAGAACCCTTGAGGGGCCATAAAATTCACAATTTTGGTAGAGGCACTCTTGCTTATCATAACTATGTACTTAGTTGGTTTATTTAATACCCAGGAGCAGAGAAGAAGATTTTCAAAGAAATAATGCATTTTTACTATATACTTATTTAGCCCCGCCCTAGCACTAGAACCCCTGACCCCAGGGCCATGAATTTCACAATTTCTATAGAGGACTTAAGGTAGGTCGCGGGTTTACTGCATAAAAATTCTTACGAGAAAACATATCCTGAAAATTTGATAAAATGTTCCTTAGAATTAAAAGCGTATCATCTGCAATTTTTATTAAATTTGCCTAAGTAGTTTTAATGTTATAGTACTGTAAACGCGGTATAGTTTTTAATCCTTTTTGACGCTTTTACCGTTGAAATATATGGGAAAATGACGTAAAGCCAATTTTGTGAAAATAGTTTCTTTTAAAAAGGCTGGATAACTTTTTAAAGACGTAGACGAATTTCATCAAGATGAGGTAAAATCAAAACCATTAATATAAAAAATCAATATGTCTAGATTTTTTGCTAAATAATTTCAAAGTTTTCTTTTAAAATGCTAAAATTTGGCGTTTATGGCGTTATTAATATCTACAATGTCATTTGTTGAACGTAGTCACGTTTACAGTACGAGTATAAATATATTGACCTATGGAATATGCAAGAATTAAAAGGTGATATCATACAAAATTTAATTTTATTCATCATTTAATTTATTGCGGAGCTTTTATTTTCACTAGTATTGTGAAATTCATATCACAAAGTCAGAATGAACGGTTTACCTGCAGCGACATTAACATGCAGCGACAATGTTCACCGCGAGTGAAAAAATATTAGTACCTGTATTTTAAGGAAATGCATGGTCAATAGATAGGATTTCAGGCATAAAATAAAAATTTGATCACTTTATTTGAAAACGGTAGGAAAAACATCCCTATAATGAGGAAATAAGTGGGCAAGGGGGGGGGGGGGGGGGTACCTGCAATGTTCTTTCTATATTAGTCGAAGCTATAGTATATGGCTCTAAATCTCAAGCATTTTTTGATTTCGAATTTTCTGAATTAAATTTCAATACGCATAAATGTAAAACACTTGCATTTAGCTTTTACACGTTGAGCTTTTGTCAAAAAAAATATATAGAAAAAATTATACTTGTAAATTGTTTACAGTGTTTTGTAAGTCTTAAAATCCAGGTGTTTGAATAAATTTGATTTTTAAATGCATTTCACATTTTATTAGCAAGCAAAACAAGGCGAGTGCACAAGATGGAAAATACTTGTAATTAAATATAACTCGTTTTTTGTGATGAGGATTACATCCTGAAAAGTATACGCATATTTTCGTGATTTGAAGTAATTTCAAATAACGTGCGCACATCAATCCCTCAATATTTTTTATTCATGATCACTTTCTTTCTGCAAGCCATAACAATTTCGCTGATTTATTCTGAATTTTAGCAGGTTAGTTACACTTCAAATATGATTTATTGCTTTCATTTGGTATTGTATTTAATTAGTCCGAAGACATTACATGTAATCACACCAGAATTCAGACTGAAATTTAATTATAAAACATGTACGAGGTTTACGTACAAAAGCATGCACTTTGTGTTAAATCTCTTTTAAATTCGTACAGACTTGAAGTCATTTGCAGAGAATTAAACGGGAAACAACGTGAAGTTTTTTAACTGACGGTATATACAAAATTGTGTATTGATGACAAAAGCAAACCCGCGACCTACCTTAATGCTGATTACAATCATGCAAACAGTTTGAATGCTTGATGTCCAGGAGTAAAGAAGAAGATTTTTAAAGATTGCATTAATTTTAGTGGTTTTGACCCCACCCCTCAGGCCCCAAGGGGGCAGGGATCATGAAATTCACAATTTTTGTTCCCCTTCACCCATAGATGCTTTGTGCCAAATTTGGTTGAAATTGGTTCAGTGTCTCTCTGTGTGTGTGTGTGTGTGTGTGTCACCTGAGTTTACTCAGGTGACCTAAAAAGAAACTGATCCAAAAACTTTACTAGTATCTGAATGTTCATCTGGAAAATGTAGGTCAAAAGCAAGTCCAGGAATGCATGCACAAGTGGCTAATAGTTTAGAATGAACCACCATAAAAAAACAACTGAATATTCATCTGGAAAAAATGTAGGTCATATCCAGCATTCTAAGCAAGCATGAAAGTGTAGTACATGTTTAGATATGTAATCCCAGCAAAGTTGCTCCTAAAGCTTTCACTGGCTCCAAAAATATTTACCTGACCATTCTTCATATATTCTTTACAGTAAAACTCTTTCAGTACAAACACAGATATAGCGAAGTTATCATAGATCCCCAGCTACATAAATTTAAACAATTCCCTACATGGTTTTAACGAATTACAGATAGTGAAGTAATTTCATATGTCTCAATATATCCGAGTTTTACTGAATTGTGGAATCTGAAAACCTTGACTTGTATAATGCACGAGAATTTTTTAAAGGTATATACATGTATGTAAAGGGGAAAAATGAAATATGACTCATTTATGGCTTAGATACTCGCAAAAGAACGTCTCTCTGTGAGTGTGTGTTTTATTTTAGGAGAAAAAACGTAAAGCGTGTATTTCTCGAACCGAAACACTACACGAACGATTTAACTTTTTTTCTGGTGAACCCGATGGAAATAAATCAAAAATGTGATTTTTATTTTATTTTAGAATATTAACCGTGGAATAAAACAAGATAAGTACTAAAATTCTCTTTAAGACAATTTTTGTATTTGGGAGAATAATAGATTTTTACATCTGATTAAAAAAAGGTTACTCAATTCCTTTATCTTTGCGTTAATTAGCCATGTTTGAAACTAAGGGCGCTCTGCAAGCCCAAGTTGGGACAAGCAATTATGTTCGTTCTTATCAATGTAACAGTGGTTCTAACTGAGGTCAGGCCTATCCAATACTGTTGACAAGCTGCATGACTATGATTAATGACACCCACTAAAATGTATCATTGCAAAACTGTAATGTCACTAAAAGTGGAGATAATTTTGAACTAAATAGAACGTTCCTGGCTTATAGTCCAATATTTATTGAAAATGACATCAGACGACCGTTTTTCGATGACAACAGAAAAATACCTATGTAAGTAACTTTATATACTTATGACAGACATACTGCTGTCGAAACCGTTTATAATTAAATTATATTAAAACTTGAAATGTATCAAGATGCAGATTGTAATCTCAGTGAGATGTCGTAAGGACTAAAATTTTTGTCTGGTGTCCACTATTATGCAGATTGTAGATCAAAGATTATTTATGTTGACATATTCTTCATTCAGCAGAAGTTTTACAACAATTGCAACTGTTACATGTACATATGCATGACACATAGAATTATTAAAAAGTGTATTAGAATCAGGAGACAATAGAGACAAACAAGACCAGGATTCGATTCAATGCCCCCCTGGCCCTGAATCTTCAGATAGGTGCTCAACCAACAGAGAAAAAAAATCCACCTGTCTTTCATATTTCTGTTTCCATGGAGGAAGGTCTTATGTACCTGAAAACACCAATCAAGGCTCTTCCCTGGCAGATCTTTTACCTCAGTCCTGTTAAGTCTTGATCAAGTGTAAAATGTGGTGGTCAGACGAGTTCCATCACTGGTGGCCAGCTGACTCAGTTGGTAGAGTACCTGGAGATTCAGGGGGCCCAGGTTCAAGTCCTGGGTGATTTGTATATTCCTCCTCTCCTGTTATTCATTTATGAATTCTATTTATTACAGGTGTAAGTTGAATGTCATTGTGAAATAATGAGGTTTATTAAAGAATGTGACTTTTCATTTTTTTTTCCCCAAAAGAATGAATTATTTATACTTTTTGTCTTTTAGCAAAGCATCATGTTCTTGTGTATATGGAGGATGCTGTAGCTCAACTGTTAGAACACAGGGAGGAAAACTCCAAAATCAACCCAATCAAGTTTTTATGTGAATAGTATGTAGTTCATCCTAGCTTTAAAAAAAAACATTATAATCATTAAAAACATTTCACTTTTGATTTTAAGCTAAATTTTAATTCATCTTATCATATGATACAAATCATATTGTGCAAATGATTTAAGGCTAGATCTACATAGAAAATAATTAATTCTAACCTCAAAATTAAAAATTTAATTATGTCATATTGATTAGCTGAAAAATTATCGCTTTTTTGCAACTTTTAATCTAGATTTTTAATTTCAGTTTTAACAGTGTTCGAGATGGGAATCATACCATGTTTCGAGAGTACAGCTATATCCACGCTACACAACACAACAGGGCATCTTTTGTCCGACTGTTCTGGAAGTGTTATAGGCAAATAGGCAAGAAGGGAGGTAATTATCACAATTTATATAGAGATCTAAAGTCAAACCTTGTAAATCAAGCAGTCAATATGAAATCATTAGGTAGAGAAAAAAGTGAGATGTTTGTGGATTCAAGATACATGTACGGTACATGTATAATTTTTTTTTTTTTCCAGTTTTGTATATTTATAGAAAAATGGTGGTTTGACTTTCAGCTCACTTTGACATTCAAAATTAAGTTCAACATATACATGTTTTTTTCACACATATAATTTTACTTTTTAAAAAGTCTCAAAATGATAGATAAAATTACGTCATAGGCTCATAGCTGCCAAAGAATACATGCATTTAAAATTGTATAAGTGATTTTCAAGAGGGATGATGCCTGCACGGGCATCCACTTCCTTTGAGGTAATGTTTTGGTAGACCTATGGGCTAATTGTCATCAGTTTGCATTTAAATGACATGGGGACAAGTTTATTGTTAAGCACAATGAATCAAATTGGACATTGCTAATTCCAGATTTGCTGAGCATCCAGGAATATCACTCCCTCTTGTCTCTCCTGTGCTCTGACTTTCCATTTGAACCAGTTCAGAAAACTGCAAAGTAAGTCAAATGGATCTTACTTTTAGTTTATTTATGTTGTTTAGTGTCAATTGCATATTTGATTTATATATGTTGAAAAATTCTTCAGCGAAGATACATGTATTACTGTTCTCTGTTTTATCACTTGCAGGATAATACTTCTAGATGATGCCCTGGACTGCTTGATCTCTTTTTCTGACTTTATTTATGCATTCCAAGTACAATTTTATTTTGAAGGTATGCAAACTGAAAGCTTTCATTTATTGAATGGACACTTTAATTGTTAATGTCATGATTCAGAACCTTTTGTGATTTATATGTATACACATATGAGTCTGTATTTTTGATTGTTCAAGCCACTGTATTGTTTACATCTCCTTAGTCTGTTTAATTATTTCATTGCAATAATCCAGTTCTTAAATTTTTGTTTTCAGTCTTAATGAGAGACAACAAACAGAGTCATTTTTGTCCTATGCTATTTTCATCTTATCCCACTTTCAAACTATATAGCCCCATTTTTAATTTGCAAAAACACAGTTCCTTTTTAGGAAATAAATGTTTTCAGTTGAATTCCTTCCATTTTAAATTTGACAACTTATGTCTCAGGCAGAGGAATATCTAAAAAAAGAAAAGGGGGGCAGGCATTTAAGATTTCTCTGTATGCCTTTTTGTTTTATTTTATTAAAATTAAGATTTTCATTTTATTTTTGGTTACAGAGTTCATAGAAAAGAGCCATGAGATGTACCTATCCTTACTACAGACCCAGCGGAGCCCCCGGGACCCCGTGGTGGTCCCCTCGGGGAGTGATGATGCCAAAGTCCATCAGAACAGTCACCACCCAGCAGACGGCGTGGACGCCAACCAGTATTTCCGTGCAATATACCCTCTCTGTGATAGATCTAACTTTAGGTATTTGGGCTGTAGTGTTAAGTTTATTCTATATACAAGATCAACAGGAAGGAAGATTTAATTTTATTTACATGTCTGTGAATAGACTATTTTATGTCTGTTTGTCTTTGAATGTCTGTGAGTTGTCTACTCTGTTTTTTTTTTTTTTGCAGTACTCCTCCTGTAAATGCATTGAAGGAAATCTTGTTCAATGTTCCACGAGTGTCTTTCTATGGCTTTCTGATGTCCATAGCGAAAAGTGAAACAATTAATGAATACATTGGTATGGATCCTTTTGCAAATAACTTAAACCGATTCAAGTGTTTTATATCTGAATTAAGTGTTTTAATGTTTTATTGTTAATGTTTGAGTGCAATAAAGGGGGAATAACTTCAGAGGAATACTTGTACATCTGTAGTTTATATTTCTCTTAGGTGTAATGTCTTTGTCTCCAATTTACTTTTTGTCGAGGGAGAGGGAGGAGCTTTCTTTTAAAAAAAACATCAGAGAAAAGAAAATCAAAGAGGGCTGAATTATTGATGCTAGAAAAATAATAATCATAAGATTGTTAGCTTTCCCTCTTGAACTTTGTCATTATGTCCTCACCAGGAGGTCTTCTGTTCTATTTTTAGGAGGTCTATTGTTCTATTTTTAGGTCGACTACCTTCGAAGGCGGAGCTACTGGAGGGGGCGGATGCTGACTTGACTGTGTAAGCTTTCTCTAATCTTCACTAACCCTCTAACCTCTGCACAGAACAATTTAGTCTCCATAATCTGGATGGGTAGAGCCATTGTATGCATCTCACAGCTCACAATTTACTGTCAGTCACACAGTGTGTAGGGATCTCAAGATGTGTATACTAACAAATGACTTAACAGTTTAAAAAAAAATTATAAACAATATGATACTCTATATGTGTAAATTTGAAGTGATGAATTAGAGTAAAACCCTTGTGCTGGGTTGCAAAGTTAACTCTTGAAAGCAAATTTAGCTGAATAGTTGTGTGGAAAAAAATGTTGATAGTTCTAGTATCTATTAATTTGTATATGTACATTGCTTGTAATATTAATGATTAGTAAAAAAAATCTAAAACACACTGCATGTCAATTGTCTAACTAATTTTATTTGTCCAAGGCTGAATTTGAAATGATGTCTCAAGAATGCACCTTTTAAAAAACACTGCATGTTCAGATATTGCCCCTATCTACCACTGCATGCTTGCATGTGTTGATGTGTTTTGTCCATTCAAAAATCAACAATATATTGCATGCTGTTGCACAAAAACCTTGTTCTTGCAGTGGAAATTTGATGTGGTTTTATAATACTGATGAGTTTTTCCGTTTAGATTGTGTTGAAAATTTATATTGTGCTGATAATTTTGCTGACTGTTTTCAGACAAGAGGCGGCCATTCAAAATCATGCCAGGTAAATTCGTGCAAACACAAGTTCCTTTTGCACATCTGCAGTTAAATGATCATACTAAAACTAAAAAAAGCCACGGTTACTTGAATTTTGTGTTATGTTCTTATTAACATTTTTTTCTTGAAAAAGTTGGAAGAATTAGTTTGGAAAATGTTTTAGATTGTGATTGCATTCTAAGCCTCTTTTTAAAAGACGGAGCTTCATAGTTCTTGAGTTTAAATGGAACATCTATGCATATTCTGCAAATCCAGGAAATTCAGATAACTGTATGAAAGATTTATGTCCCCTTACTAGAGAGAAATTAATCAACAAAAGTAATGCATTTATAACAAAATACTATTAAGATTTCTCAACACAGTAGTTTATTTAACAACTTTAGAGCTAGAGAATAAAATATCTTAGATGAATTAAACTAACAAAAATATAGATCATTTTGCTATTCAAAGTGTATAAATGTACACTGTATTCCCACTTTATCCCATATATATTTATTTAACCTGTCATTGAAATGTTGTACTGTTTTTAAGTGAGTTGATGAAGAGCACAGAATCACAAGCTTTTATAAGTATACCTGTCTACCCTTTCAATGTTGTTGAAGGAGTCTTTTTTGTATTAAATGGATCTTCCAAATAATTTCAACATATTCATGGTATTTAGAGATATCAGTGTGTTCCAGTCTCCAAGATTTTAACTGTGTTTATTTCACAAGTACATTTATCAGAGTTAAAACTTGACCTTTATATTTAAACTTAAGGTAAGAATGATCATGTGACTTCTGTAACCAATCAAACACTCTTGTCCATTTTCACAGTGAGGCCACTGAGGATAATAGTAATGGTAATGATATTAGGGTACTAATGGTTATGATTTTTGATGAGAGAGGGGTAAATGATTGTAGTTTGACATAATCACATCAATTTCTGAAATGCACATTTCCCATTGTTGATTGAAAACTTAATTCTTGTGTCGAAGATTAATGAAAAATGGATTTGATTTCCCCACACATTTGTATGTGTTATCCACCAATTAGCCCCTCCCCCTTAATTCTCTCCTCCCTCTTTTCTTCCCTTCTCCCCCCCCCCCCTTCCCCTTTTAATCCTTACAAACTGAGTTTATACCTGAAGCTAGCTCCATGAATAAATGTTTAACACTATCATTTCTTGAAACCTGGCCCTTAAGGAACACCAAATTCTTATCCATTACTGAGGTAGGTAAGAAAAATTTGTACAGATTATGAACTAGTATCTAATGCATTGTGATCACTTTGTCTCTCTCTCTCTCTCTCTCCATTTAAGTACATTTTTACACTTCAAAGCAACATAATATGGCAATTTGTCTTAAGAATCCGAAGTTAGTAGGTGAAAGTTGTTCAAAGGAATTTCGAGGTTCTTTAAGTCAATAATCAATCAAGGATGATAGGTGTGAATGTACATAGAAATCCTTGGATGAATTCTCACAATTTTTAAATTTTGCCCAATATATATTGTATTTTGTGATAATTTTTTTTTATACTAAACCTATTCAGTACCCACCCACCCCCTTTTCCCAAATAAAATCACATTTATAATCTTGTATACTATCATATAGTATGTCATGAACCATAACAAATGTTGTACTGTGTGCTCATGCGGCATTGGGGACAAACTTGTACAGGTCAGAAAAGGTGCCAAAAAGCAAAAAACAAAAGGCCTTTTTTAAAGTAGGGATGATGAGAAACCAGACTGGCCTGAATGCTACCTGCCGTAGGATTGAAATTTGGAGATTTTTGTTACTTTTGGAAAATTAATGCAATTAAGTCTTGTACAGGTCAGAAATATTACCGACATAATACATTAATTTCAGCTTCCTCTCCAGTTTGCTTCAATCAACTTTATGAATACTGGAAGCAACTTGTGTTTATATATTAATTATAATAAGTGACTTAATGATTTTCCAACTGTATTTAAGCATTATACATAGCATCCATCTTTAATCAAGATGATGGCCAGAGTGGAAGCTTGATATTAGGTCAAGGTCATAAATATCTGTCAAGGTTAAATATGATAAATGGGTTACTATGGGTCAAAATGTTTCATAATGTTTAACATAACATATGTAACATAGTTACAGTAGAGGTTTAATTCCTTTTACAATGCATTACAATGCATGTTCCTTTTAAATTACATGATAATCAGTAAATAAATAACTTAATATAAAACATAGTTTTTACAGAACTTTGCAGTGATGAAGACTTATTTGAATATTAATTTAAATTTAATTTAAATTGCTTCAGTTCTGCTTTGAAGGTATTGGTGGAGGGGCAACATGCTGTTAATTTAGTTTTTAGTTAATTATTACTTGCATCAATTAGTTAGCATCTGTATTAGTTATATAATTATTTAGCTTTTATTAATCAAATATTTAAACTTTTTTTAAAAAACAGTTTTTCTTCTGTTGTACAAGTACATGTATATATTTATAAATGTTGTCTTTGTCTACTCTTTTTTTTTCAAATATATATGTATTGGGCTTTATTGTATATAACAATGTTATATTTTTTCTGGCACCATGCAACAAAAACGTTCACTCAACCTACATGAACTATTCCTTTGTGAATTCATTCAAATTCCTTTTTCAGATGCTATGTGATTAAGATTTTTTTAAAAAGGTCAAGGTCAAATATTCTAACAAATTGATTTATTTGACCTTGACAAAAGCATTCTTATGCATTCATTATCACAATGCATGAACTTAATGATACCAAGTGGTAATATGTTCTACCGATATTAAATGATTCATTCATTCATTTATTAAATTAACTATTTTAAGGCATAAGTGTTCATCATATGGAATGCTTCCAATAATTTAATGTTTAATTATTAAGCAGCTTAATTGATGTCAAATTCTAAGTACATGTATTGAAACTCGAAAGTCTTTTCATATGCTGAATCCACACCATTTCTTTTTTGTTTAGCCCAACAGTAAGATTAAGCAACAACAGCACTGCTGCCACATCCAAGTCTAAAGGTCGCCCCATTTCTGCCACCACTCCGACAGATGCCACTCAAAATGTTTACTCCACCCAGAGGCCTCCATCAGCCAGTCAAAGAAAAACTCCACCCACTCGAGCAGGGGCTGTCAACAACAGCATGAAAGTCAAACGGGGCACCGTTAAAAAAGACAGCACAGATGAAAGTAGTTCTGATGATACTGATGACACAACAGACACAAACTGATGAAACAATACAAATAACCTAATGACACAACACACAAAACATTATGACACAATAGATACAATCTTATAAAACCAACTGGAGTCTCATAAAACCATGACATCTAATTTTGTTTTGTTGTGGTAATTTAATTTGAAATATTTACATTTCTGTGCTAATATTGATGTATTTATTTGTTGCTAATTATGCAATATTCTTGGCATTTTCAAATGCTCATACATTTGTTGATGTTTAAAAATAAACCCTTGCATTGTTCCATACATGCACAGCTGCAATTTTGATTTTGTATGTATATATACATTGTAGGACATTGTATATATAGGACATTGTATATATATGTAGGAAAAATTTTATATGCAGCTATTAATCATTTTTGTATATTTCATTTTGAGTAATCCTCATACATTTCTTGACTAGTTCATAGTACATTGAATATACATGTATGTTAAACTTACATGTATCAATGATTTTATGAAGATGTGTGTGCTTAAGAAAGCAATAAAGAATAGTAAAAGGCCAGGGTTCGACGTATTATAATTGTATATGTGCACTCAAGTTTCAATGTGGAAAGAGCAGTATGAAAAGGATTTTGACATTGTGCTGAGTAATAGTTAAATGCATGGACTGATAATATACATTTTACTGAATGTGATCTTGCCCAAATGACCTAGTCAAAGTCATAAAACACCCTCTGGTCATTTAAAAGTAATGTGTATGAATTATGAACTTCCAATGTCTCACCATGAGACTTATTTTCTAACAGTCTTCTTGCTCTTATCAAATTACTGGATTTAAGGTCATGAAACACCCTCACCAGTTTTGAGTATGAGCTTGCAGATTTAATATCTGATAATGATTGTATGGACTAAAGGATATCTTTTTCATATCCATTTGGATTCTCATTTAATCCCTCCCCCAATTCTTCTGGGGGTGTGGAAGGGCATAATCAAAATTCAGCAGATTTCCAAAAATACAAGAAAAATTTGTTTTAAAATTTATTCACCTTTCATACAATGTACACTCATGTTTCATTTTTCACTATATACATGTATTAATGCATGTGCATTTCTAAACAAACAATTAAAGCTAATCAAATAGGTTAAGTATTGTGTGAAATATCCTTCAAATGAAGAACAAGTAGTTTCTTCTCCAACAAAATTGTTTGCATGCTTCAAATTTGAACCAGTGAAAACCCATTAATAAGGATTATCTTCCTTTATTTATTTACAGATAAAAGGGGAAAAAAATCCAATAAAATTAAACAACTATTTTTGATTGTGAAACTCGCATTTCCCATTGGATTTTTTCCACAGTTTTTGCATTCAAATTTCTCACATTCTTACAATTCTTTTTTTAAGCCTTGTTTATATCAATACTTGATCTCTTCAATCATTAAAAAAAAACTTGGTACAAGTATTCAGTTAGCATTTCCTTCTACACCTATTAACAGATACAACAGCTTGTAAGTAAAAAATGACAATCAATACAGAAAAAAAATGTGAACAAGAACAACCACAATTCATTTGTTGCACCTGTCTGAAGCTATTTATTTGATGTACAAAGACACTGCTTCTAAATTCACCTCACAATCATTTTTTTTAAGGGATAAACACAACTGTTTTACACATGCTGAATTTCTTAGAACATAATCCCTAAATGTACACCCGATTCTGCATTTAAACTCACTTGTAGGTAGCTGTATACCTGGCAAAAGATGTATGCATCTTTTAAATGTTTTCTTGATCAAAATTGCAATCATAACAACCAATGTATGAAACGATCATGATCCAACGATGACCTGAAAATGTCAACTTGACCAGAAGGCTGCAGGTTGTGTATCGGAACCATTAGAAAATTTCTTTATAATTGATATTGATTAGGATTTACTTTTAACTGTGATACACAACTTACAGCCTTCGTGATCTCTCATATCATATGTGGTCTCCATGATATTTTGTTTGAAAAAAAACTTGATATTCATTATCTCTGCATTATTTTTTAAATAAATGAAATATAGTAGAGTTAATGTGTGAAACGCAGAATAAAATGAATATTAAGTTTTTTTTGTCCTTCCGAGATTTCTGCAATTCTGATTGGCTGACTCGGCTGTCCATCACCATCTCTGGCCACGCCCTCTTCCCCGGAAATTTCCTCTTCTGTTGAATCGTCCTCTTCCTCCCTGGGCTTAAAATAATTTAAATGAAAGCTAGAAACGGCTACAAATAGAAATTATAACCTATCACAAATTGAAATCTCATATAATGGCAAATACTGATTATTTTTTTGGTTGTGCAAAGGATTCAGTAACACTTGTCATCCATTCGGTTACAAAAACAGTTCTGTATATCTTACGTGGTGTGAATGTGCCCGCTTTTTCGCTGAATTTCCCGCTGGGTGGATGGTACAGAGATCTCTCCTCTTTGTGATGTTTTTTGCCTCCAGCTCCATTGGATTCAAAAGTGATGGGTGTTCTTTTTTGGCTGTTAATAAATAAGGATGTACATGTAAATAGCA